TAATTGGTTTCAGAGAGAGGAAGGGAGAGAGAAAGAGAGATAGAAACATCAATGAGAGAGAAACATCTATCAGCTGCCCCCTACATGCCCCCTACTGGGGATCAAATCCACAATCGGACATGTACCCTGAACAGGAATCAAACCGTGCCCTCCTGGTTCATGGGTCAACACTCAACCACTGAGCCACACCAACCGGGCAACTTATTATTATAGACCAGAAATTTCACTTCTGGATATTCATTTTAAGGAAATCATTTTAAATGTATACAAAATTAATTACAAAAATTACTAATAAAATAAATAAAAACCATCACTATTGCAATCCTAGTGGATCAGATAAATAAAATAAAATGTAAGCATCCAGTAAAATACTATAAATCCATTATAATATTGTGGGAGAATATTTATGACCTTAAATATATTTTTGATATATTGTTAAGTGAAAAAAACAAGCAACATGAGCCTCAAGGAAAATTAATGGTGATTTTGATTTCATCTCTTGTATTTTATCTATAAATTCTAATTTTTTTCTTTCTTTGATTTTATTTTATTCTCTAATTTTTTTCCTTCTAAAAAATACTGAACTCTTGATTGCAAGAAAATATTTGTGATTTTAAAAATAAAAAGTACCATGTCTACAAGTTTTTTAAAAAATCAAAGTTTTCTTACTACAAATCAAGGTTTAATCCAATACAGTGGTTCTGAATGTGTGTTCCCCAGACCAGCACCATCAGTATCACTGGGGAAACTTGAAAATTCAGATCTACTGAATCAGAATCTCTGGGTATGAGACCCAGCATTCTGTGTTTAGCAAGGCTTTCCCATGATTCTAGGCACACCAAAGTTTGAAAATCGCTGCTTCAGTAGAATGAATCAGTAGGCCCAGTGAAGAACTGATGAGGAGCTGAAATTCCCTTCTACTCTCTCCCACCAGTTTGTGCTCTTTAAAATGAATGGTTTAAGCACTGTGTTTTTATTCACTCATTTGTACCATAAATATTTATTAAGAAGTATTTTAATTCAGAAACTTAGAGGAAGTATCAGTTGACCCAACTAGGATGGAATTGCTGTAATTCTAATAATTTGGGAAATAATAGCCATAGGATTATAGAACTAGAAGGAATCATGAGCGGTCACTGTGAGGCAATGAATGGCATTTAGATAATTCATATTGCCCCCTTAATATTTCCCTATTTGAAATTATCATTCTTGTGAGATTTGAACCAAATAACTTGTTTTGTTTTACTGTGGTTTTCAGTTTAATTTACAAGTACTTTTGATGTAATAATGTTAAATAATAAAATATGATTTATTAAATTATGCTGTGTTTGAGATTCCTGAATGTGTCTTTTTAAATTTTGATTAAGTGTTCACTTTACATTTTTTAGTTGTGGTTCAACAAATTATGAATGCAACCATAGAAGTGCATTGCAGCAATGGTGAGTACCTGTGGGCGGTTTCAGCAGCACTAGCAGGCACAGCTCTGCTTCAAATAAATCATCACTTTATCTTGTTTATCTTTCTCTAAATTTCTAATTTATCTTTATTGTTGATAGTAATACAGATATACCCTTTCCCCCCCCATTGACCCCTTCCAGCCTACCTCCCCTCCCTGGGCCTTTACCACATTGTGTCCATGGGTTATGCATATAAAGTCTTTGGTTAATCTCTTCCCACCCATCCACTCCCACCTTCCCTCAGATTCGACAGCCTGCCCTGTTTTTATGTCTCGGGATTTATTTTATCAGTTTAGTTTGTTTTTTAGATTCCTCATATGAGTGAGATCATGTGATACTTATCTGGCAAAATATTTGTGTATCTTTAGGCTCTTTGTTTAAGTAAAATTTCAGAAGATACGAGGTTTCTGAATGAGTCAATATCTATCACGTTTGCATAAAAATATTTTATGCTTGTTTAAGGCCAGTATATTCCAAATTCATTTTGAGGGGCCCTGAGGGTGCGGCTTTTCCTGGAGGCTGCTCAAGTGGACAAGCTTAGCTCCTCTGCTTTATATAGACACTAGAGCAGCCGTGGGCAAACTACAGCCCGTGGGCCGGATCCGGCCCGTTTGAAATGAATAAAACTAAAAAAAAAAAGACCGTACCCTTTTATGTAATGATGTTTACTTTGAATTTATATTAGTTCACACAAACACTCCATCCATGCTTTTGTTCCGGCCCTCCGGTCCAGTTTAAGAACCCATTGTGGTCCTCGAGTCAAAAATTTTGCCCACCCCTGCACTAGAGGCCCAATGCACGAAATTTGTGCAAGAGTAGGCCTTCCTTCCCCTGGCTGCTGGCACCGGCTTCCCTCTTGCACCTGGGACCTGGGCTTCCCTCGCAGCCCTGGCCTCATCCGGAAGGTCGTCTGGATGGACGTCCGGTCTAATTAGCATATTATACTTTTATTATTATAGAGCCTGCTGTGTGTTGGGCTCTGGGCTGAAGAAGCATCAGGAAAACCCTGTACCTCTTTGGTCTTCTACTTTCTCATTTTTAAAATGAAGCAACTATATGAGATTGTCTCTCTTTTTTTTATCAGTTCCCAGGCAACATGACATAGATACTGTGAAAGTGTTAGATACGTTCTTCACCCTTTTCATGTTTTTTTGTTTGTTTTAAATATATTTTAATGGTTTTTTAACAGAGAAGAAGGGAGAGGGATAGAGAGTTAGAAACATCGATGAGAGAGAAACATCGATCAGCTGCCTCCTGCACACTCCCTACTGGGGAAGTGCCCACAACCAAGGTACATGCCCTTGACTGGAATCGAACCTGGGACCCTTGAGTCTGCAGGCCGATGCTCTATCCACTGAGCAAAACCGGTTAGGGCCCTTTTCATGTTTTTATGCCAATAAAAATGAGTCTGACCTGTGTCTTCATAATTAATCTTCCTACTTTCGTGGTATGAGATTTTAAAGATAACTTAATAATGCCTCAGGACAGGTGGGGTTCTATTTCAGACTCTAGGGTGTTCTCGTGTTTAATATGAGTTATGATTATCTCTCAAGAGGGCAATAAAAGTCTGTGGTTAGGAGAAACACATTAAAAGCAACCAAGTCTTCAAATAGCTTTTCCATGTGGACTTGCCAAGTACATGACGCAGCCTGCTACATCCTGGGGTCCCCGCAGACTCAGGTGAGCAGGCCAGAGACAAGCTGGGACTGGGTTGGAGAGGATGCCAAGGCAACACCACGTGTTTGTAGGCAGCGACGCGGATGATTCAGTGGAATGTGACGTCAGGCCTAAGTCAGCTTTCAAGCAGGGGTTTACGATGCAGCACGGAAGCCAGAGGTGAAGTTTCTGCTGAATCCCCAAAACAGAGACTTCGTAAAATCTTGCTTAAATGTAAGATTCTGCATTTTACCTCCTGGAGGGCTGTTTCAGTGCTGCAATGGGAGAGCCTCATTGGACACTTCCACTGTTAAGTGACGGTGTCAACTACAGAGAAATGAACTCTCCATGACTGATAAAAATATATATTAAAGTCAAGTACACCTATGATTATTATTTTGAAGAAAAAAACAACACTTTCCATTTTGTTATTTACTTAACTGGTCTGAGCATAGGAGGGCATGCAAGTGTTTAAATGCCCTTCGTGCCCAGGAAATGGTCCTCTGCAAAGCGCCTTTCCTACAACTGAGCAGAGCTGGTTGGAAGGGGCCTGTCGGGTCACCGTCTCCACTTCATCAGCCTCATGACCTACAACAGCCTGCTTTTCCTGTGCTGACCTCGGTGCCTTGAACACAGACTATGCCCGAAAACATTCTTTGAAGAAAAAATGCATTCTTTTTTAAAAACTTTTTATTGATTAAGGTATTACAAATGTGTCTTTATCCCCCCATTGTCCCCTCATCCCCCCAGTCTTGCCCTCACTCTCACCCCCTGTTGTCTGCATCCATAGCTTATGCTTATATGCATGCATACAAGTCCTTTGGTTGATCTCTTCCCCTTATCCCCACCCTCCTCTACCTTCCCTCTCAGGTTTGAGCATCTGATAGATGCTTCTCTGTCTTTAAATCTGTAAATGCATTCTTAACAAGCGGTTGAATTAGAATGCAAAGGTAGGGGCCTTTTCAAGATGAAATCTAATAACATAATCTCTCCCTCACTCTTTTATGTTTTAATTTATTATAAAGTATTTAGGAGCTGGTGTGATCATCAAAATTATGGTGGAATCTACCTACATCTACCAGCCAGATAGAATTTTTATGTAACAAATAAAATTAATCAGGCTGGCAGTTTACTCAATTCACTGACTTCCTCAACTGAATTGACTAGTGGTTTGTGTTTTTTTCATTAAGAGTTTTTCCTACAATGAAATTACAATATATCAGTTGCATTGTTAATGGTCCTAATTTATACCTGAATAGTTTTTTCTTCTACTGCCTGAGGAAGCCATAGAGTGTGGGTCAGAAATGTTCAGATATTTTTGTTTTCATCTTTTTAATGAACAATGGGAGTTATACTGTGACCTAGTTCTCAGAACTAGAATAACATATTCCTAAGGCTCGTGGTACCCATCACCATGGATTTGGTGGTGCCTCTCCATGCCTGTCAAAGAGATAAAAAATGTTGGTACTGTTGAAGCACAAATCCAGGATAGAAGGGGAGATGCAACAGAGGGAAAGGCAAGGGAAGAGATTGTGAAATGCCTCGCCTGCTTCATTAGGGGCTTGAGCTGGATTCTGGAGGTGATGAGAAATCATCAGATTTGATGTTAAGAAATTCATTGTATAAGCATAAGCGATGGATGTGGACAACAGGGGGTGAGGGTGAGGGCAGGATTGTGGGTATGAGGGGACATTGGGGGGATAAGGACACATTTGTAGTATCTTAATCAATAAAGGAAAAAAAAGAAATTCATTGTGATTGCCATGTAAAAATGGAGGAAGAGGCAACAGTTAATAAGATAATCATTTTTTTTAAGTTCAGTTGTATAACTCCCTGCAGTGAATTCTGTTATCTTTTGGTTGCTAAGTTGTTAAACATCACTGAACATTGTATTTTAAAGGCAGTGTGAAGACACTTTCATTTTACCAATTTTTATAGAATTTCTTTTTTTTTTTTACATTTTTCTTTACTGAAACCTTGTTGTCGGTTGGAAAGTATTTATGGAATGAAAGACTTGTTATTTTTTGAAAAACATTTGCTAAGCTTCTTTTGAGTAATTTGGTTACCCCAAGTATGAACACAATATAATTTAGCAGCGGCTGGTATTTTTGCTTGTTAAGATAATTTTGTAAACATTAGTCTACCAAATAGAAACATTCTTTAAAATGGCTTAGAATCAATAGTATGAAGTAATATGTAAATTATCGAGTAGGATTGAGCAGAAAATCGCATCTCCTTCTTACACTTCACTGTACTTTCTTAGGTTGAGGTGCCTGGGGTAGGGAGGGGGGCAGGGACCTCTGTGATGTTTGGTATAAGATCTGAGTGTTTGGTATAAGATTAGAGTACACATTCTTTGCTCCATCCTGCTGCCTACAAGCTACTTTATCAATCCAATGGCAGTTTAATGACACTTCCTGGTAAGAAATTCTCCTCTTTCCCTGCTGGGTCTCTTCTGTCACCACCCCACAGAGTCATCACCCCAGATTCACTGTTGCTTAACATATGCAGTAAATGCCATGAACATGTTATCAATCCACTGGAGAGACATTTTCCTACCTCCTGTGCCTTTAAAGCTTAAAGGCTGAACAAAATATATGATCTCCGTGACACCAAGTAAAGTCAATAGCTGCTATATGAGCCAAATTCTACAAAATTTGACAAATAGCAGTCACAAATCCACTCTGACCAATTTGTCTTTTCCTTTTCATTTTTAAAAAAAAAAAACACAGATGAAGACATACAATGTCATATCAAGCAGATCTTCACACAGCCACATTTGGAACTAAGTCCGGAATTTAACCCGAAGATCAAAGATTATTACTCTGAAGTCCCTTTTGATGTGGTAACCGTGACAATTGGAGTGGAGACTTCTAACTGTCAGTGCAAGGTGTACCTGCATGAACGGGCAGGGCCAAGGTATGGAATGCTGCCAGGCTGAGTGAAGATGTCACAGTGGGAAGCAGACATTCGAGGCAACCTTTGCAGGTGGTTCGGAAACGTTGAGGCACGAGATCAGTTGGAGAGACTAACAGGGTGGGAAATCTTTCCACTTCTCAGGTGTCGTGTGGTTACAAAGAACACATCAGCGCTCTGCTGATCTATGAGCAATCTTTTATAGGATCTTGGTAACCATGTTCTAACAGGAGTGGATCTTGTGATATGAAATATCAAAGAGGACTCATTAAGGGAGAAGTTAGTTTATTATTGTCCTCGTGTTTTTAGATTGCTAAAGAGTTAATCCCTCTGAACAGTGGCCTCCTACCAACCCAACTCCCCAAGTTTTTGAATATTCAGGAATTGATTACTTAATAAACATGTTGTGGACAGAGTCACGTTAACTTTCCTCGTCTCACTGGGATTTTGTTCTTCTGACCCTGTTGAGAGCCACCAACTATTTTGTTTGTAATTTTGAACAGAAGATAAAACCTTTTGATATCCGTATCCATAGCAAGGAAGATACTCATGTTCCCACGCTGTAGGGAAAGAAATGCTATTGTATCCTTGGGAGCCAAGAAAAAGTAGTAGAAAGAAAAGAGGAATCATCCAGACAAAGCTGGGTCCCAAACCTGACTCTCCCATGTGACTTGGGCAGTTTGTTTCCTGGTTCTAGGTTATGTTCTCTCTATTTAAAATGAGGACAATCATGGTTTTGTGTAGAGTTGTTATGAATATTAAATGAGATAATGTATAACCCTGACGGATGGTTAATAAATATTAGTTCCCTTTCCTACATTTATAGGAGACATGACTTGCTTAGCAAGGTAACTCTTAGCGTACCAACCAAAGTACTGGGAAACGGAAGTGAAAATACTTATTTCACATTTTAGGTTTCTTGTGAAATCGTACAGACAAATTATGATTTGATATTGATGTATGAATTCGTTTGGGCTGAATAGACGTTTCTCTCTCCAGCTTTGCCAACTACCCACTGGGCTTAGGAACAAACAGAATCTCAATGCTTGTGGTGGATGAATCTCCGGCACAGGGTGAGACCCTGATCACGTACAAACTCACCATCTATCGAGAAGACCGTCCAAGTCTGCCCTTGTTTGAGGACTTTATGGCATGCGGTTTTGTGCAGGTAAGTGAATTTTACATTTGCACTTGGATTGACTTGGAAGTGATATAACCCAGGTGAAAAATGCCAAATGAAAATTGTTGGGGGGGAAAAGTATGTCTTTCAATCCAAACTGTGGTCTCATTTCAAAAAAGCAGGAGTCTCAGCCAGGTATCTAAGATACCCTGTTATGAGTGGTTTTCTTTTTAGTGGGTGGCTCTTCCTTGAACTGACTGAATTCAGTGGATCTATTGTGGTTAATATGAAAAAAGTCTGAGTACTCACACTTAGTTATGAAATTGGTTTTATATTTCCCTTTTAAATTGTGCTGTGTTTCTTGGATTTGTCCCTGGATCTACTTTGAAATTTTAAACTACTTTCGGCAGAATTTATTTTAAAGAATGAGAGGAAAATTTATGGAACTATTTTACAGATGGGATACCCAATGAATGAGATTAAATTTGCTTGGGTAGATATATTTCGAATTCACTTCTCATGCCTTGATCGTTCCGAAAAGCTGTAGTTTCTCTTGTGAGCAACACATCCTGTGTTTTAGCCTATTGATTTTGGAGGAGGGTAAACATTGCCCAGAGACTTTGTCTTGTTTGATGATTCTCTCATCTGTCTTTCCCACCTTCTTAGGATTCTATGTATAAACTTCTACATTTCCTCACATCATATACCCTCCCTATGGGTGATTCTAGGGAAGTAATAATTGGTACTATTATCATATGTACTAATCCACTCAGCAAGTATAACTAAATGCATCATGTCACAGGGATTTTTTATGCCACTTGGAGCATTGAAAGCACAGAGGGTCAGTAAGAGAATAGTGGCCCGCAAGGACTCAGTGAGTGGTATGTATCTACCATGTTTTCTTGCATGTAGTGGCCAAGTACAGTATCCTCCCCTCTCTACTCACCACCATCACAATCTCATCTATTTCCCAGAGTTTAATACTATTTTGTAAGGGTGCCCATCACTGAGATGGATATTTTTCAAGGAAACGCATATCTTTAATTTATGAACTACCACCAACTCAAAGGGGTTTTCACATTGGCCTAAAGATTGCTCTAAAGCAGGCAGGATGGAACCATTATTCTGAAAGACAATAACAGGTGAACTTACAAAGTGGAAAAGATTAGGGTCCATGCCACATATGTTTACGAAGCAATGGTTAAGCAAAAGCAAGTAGGTTTCTTTATGGTGGGACTTCTCTGCCCTTTTCCTACATTGATTGAAATGTCGGATCTTCCAAAGGAGAAGCTACAGTGTGTAGCATTTCCAAGCTTATTGGACTTTCTCTCTGTGCAATCGCTACTGGATATGCTTCTGTGAAAACACTGGGCTAGACTTTGGAGACAGCTGGAAAACACGTTCCTCTCCGTTACCACTCTTCAGTTTGCTTTACTTGGGGAGTAACCCTTTCGAGCCAAAGAGAGTAAACTATTACAAGCAGGTGCCATTGTCCTTCAGAGAGTGGTGTTGGCCTGGTCTGCTGGCAGGAAGAACTGCCTGAGGAAGTCAAGTGGGGAGAAGCCCCCTCTACACAAACCCAGAATCCTTAGGTGGGGTGAGTGGGGGCAAGAGGTGACCATGGAGATTGGCAGCCAGACCACTAGGTAACTCCTTGGTCTGTTGGTGCCATCTGCTATTTTTTTTCTGACATTTGCAACTCGCCATGATCTAGGGCCGTGGTCAGCAAACTGTGGCTCACGAGCCACATGTGGCTTTTTGGCCCCTTGAGTGTGGCTCTTCCTAAGACTTAGGAGTACCCTAATTAAGTTAATAATAATGTACCTACGTATATAGTTTAAGTTTAAACAATTTGGCTCTCAAAAGAAATTTCAATCGTTGTACTGTTGATATTTGGCTCTGTTGACTAATGAGTTTGCCGACCACTGATCTAGGGGAAAAGGAATCAAGAAAAATTGTCAGGAGCTGATATAGAAAGGCACAAGATCTCTTAATATGAGTTGTCTTTGTAATAGCTCAAAGCTGTAAACAATTCAATAAGAAAAGGGATAAACCAATTTAACATAATATTATTGAGATATTTGTGTGTATTAATACACACAAAATGGAAGAGTCTCCAAAATACTATGTTGAGAAAGAGAAGCCAGACATAAGACATACTGTATTGCATTTATATGAAGTTTAAGAACAGATAAAACTAACTTATGGTGATAGAAATCAAAATAGCGGATACCTAGAAGGTATGGTACCTCTAAGCATGAGTGAATCTTTTGGGCAAATATCTTAACCTGGGTGGGGTGGTTACATAGCTCCCCAAAACCACTTGGTATGTCGGTATATACAAATGTAATTAATTAACTATGCTCCTAAGATTTACCTAACTTACTGTATGTAAAATACATAAAATGTATTTGGCTATTATAAATTATCTATTTGGATATAAATTATACCTTAACAGCATAAGATAAAAGCATAGTGGGGAAGCAACTATTATTTTCCAAGCTATGTCTCCATTCTCATATATTATATTGATTAGGACCAGTTAATTACCATGCAATTACATTAGACAATAGATTATATTAGGCATTTGTTACTATGATTTGAAGAAAAGTATTAGAAATTTTTTTGTGAGATGAGTCCTACAGGTGATTGAAGGAAAGTATTTCGGTTATGTATAAGAATAATTTCCAGGTCTTAATTAAAAGTTTTTGTGTGGTTCCCCGGCAGTACTGTATTCTATAACATGGAAAGACGTCTAATAAGCATTAGTATTTTTTAGCCTTCCTTTCATAAACTGTCAAATGACTGAACAGGTAATGAATAAATAATGTAGATTACTGTAGCCCCTTCCTTAGGAACTGGGAGAAGGCAATCGCAGAGGTTTTCTCACCAGACACTCCAGTGAAAATCCTAATCCAGAGACCTTTTCCTTATTTCTCCTTTAGGTTTACTTTCATTAGTCTGTGGGTTTCACTGCACGTTGATACCATGTTGAAGTTTAGAATACAAAGAGTGAGGGATAAAAGTTCCTACCTCCCATCACTTCTTAGGTATTTCAGAATTTCCATTGACGTTAATAGCTAACTAGATATGCATTATGAGACTTAAAAACTTTTGGTCTTCAGAATTGTCGTTTTTCTTTTTGGTTAGCACCCACAGTGCCTTCCTTCATTGTATTCCTAAGGCTGAAGTCCAGAGTCAGCTATTGCAGATAAGTGATAGGCTGTTCTAGTGGGATCTCCAAAGCCTTATGGGGAACCTAAAAGGAAATGAATTAAACTGTAATTATATTTTGTCTGTTGGTTAAGGGGGAAAATTACAATTCCTCCTTACATTTCAAATTAGATTTTGGTCTAATGGGCTCAATTATTAAATTTTAAACAAATGTAAGAAGCAATCTGCCTTCAAATGGCCAAAAAGGAGACTCTAATTTGTGGTTAATCAGCTTCTTAATTTCTCCTTCCCTCATTCTCTCAACTTCTTTCTGAATGCCAATTATTCACTTGATCCTCTCACCAAAGACTGACAGTAAAGAGAAAGCAAATACAAGGCTTGCCAGTCAATTAAAAAATCAATTACTACGACTTTTTGGTGAATAATAGGCTAATTTAATTAATTTGTTAATAGACATTTGTATCCTTTATGTGCTCAAACATTGTTAAGTGCCTACTTAGCCATAAATAACTATTCTAGTTTAGAGTCTGTATCTAATTATATCGTCAACTGGAATGTATATGGTTGTCACAGAGGCAACTCTTAGTTATGTTAGTACCAGTGAGGGAAAAGGAGCTAATTTACTTGACTTACATAAAACAACCAGATTTGGAACAAGATTTCTCAATCTTGGAACTATTGATGGCAGGGCTGGATAATTCTTTGTTTTGGGGAGCTATGATGTGCATTGAAGAATGTTTATTTAACAGCACCCCTGCCCTCTACCCTCTAGATCCCAGTAGTATGCCCCTCTCCAAGCGGTGACAATCTAAAATGTCCTCTCAGAGGTGAAATCAATCCCAGTTGAGAGTCACTGATAGAGACCAATGAGAGGTCCTATTTTTCTATTTCTATTAAGAATTCTCTAGTGGTATGAGTTATTTAGAGGTAATCCTTCAATGTTAAATGTTGAAGAGTCAGCCCTCCTATCTTTTTCTCATCAGTGATACTACTCTGATGTTCTTTATTCTACTTATTAATGGGCCTTCTTTTCTGGCTAATGTAATTATTCTAATCAGAAATAGGCATTCATTTATAGAAAATATGACTCTTAATAAGATGTTAAAAAGCCATATAAGATACATAGACTGTTACTTCATTTTGATTTACCCAAGTAGCATAATGTTTTGCTCTTAGGAAGCAAGATTTAGAAAGTAATAAACTGCTATTATGGTTGGGATATATCATGCTTAGGAATTAATAAAATATATTTATGTTCTAAGAAAATTAAGATACTAGGAGGAAATATTTCTTTTAATATCTCTGTCTAAATAAAAAAATGTACATGGATAACAATATAGCATCCACAGATGTTGATTTACATAGATGATCTATGGTCTCATATGTAATTTGCCCCAAAAGTGTTTTTTGCCAAAATAAAGCCATAAATAAAATCTACATCATATATCAGAAGTGTAGGAGAATATGTTTCATGAATTCATTTCTAGAAACAGCTTTCATTTTAAAAATAAATTGCTATTAATAAAAGGAAGATACCAAGGAAAGAGAAAATTCCAAGACTTGAAGAAAAGTCTTGTCCAGCATTTAGTGACCCATCTAAAATGGGCATTTGCTGCTTTCTTTAAAAAATAATTAGCGATCTAGATGCTGAGTTATTAAAATGATGTGTAAATGACTCTAGTTATAGCATTTGGAAAAGCTTTACAGTTTTCCCACTTATTTTTTGCACCTTTCCAACACCACGGAGGACTATTACCAAACAACTCAAGTTATAGTTGCCTAATATGTTAGCAAATTGATTTTTAATAGACTGGTAAGCCTTGTATTTGCTTTCTCTTTACTGTCAGTCTTTGGTGAGAGGATCAAGTGAATAA